GGGGTCCGCCGGAGGAGGGGCAGACGTCGGGCCTAGAAAACACTTCCGGGGCCTAGAGAAAACCGAAAAAAGTTGAGACCTGGTGGTGCTGAGAACTTGGCCTGAAATCCACATCACGCCGGAGTTTTCGTTCCTTCCTACCACTGCCCAGAGGCTCCCGAGAGCGGCACCAATCCGGGTCGGGGGCCCCGAGGGCCGGCCGTGGGTACTGCACCCGTCTACTGGGGTCGCGAAGCTGCACCTCGGGGCTTGGGGTGGTATTTGGAAATAAGCAGCATTTGGATCATTTTTCTCTTCAGCCTCCAATCTGCCCCTTTGTGAGGTCACAGTGAGTCCCATCTCAAGGACACGTGTTCACTTTCAGCTTAAACTTGAAAGAAGCAGGGAGGAGACGTTTGTGGGTCCCTGGGGTGATGCTCCGTGTGTGCATGCCCTGGATGTACCGGAGACCCCAGCAATCAGGAGCGGGGTCTGTCTAGAAAAACCGGTGATGGAAAAGCTCACCTCTGATGATTCATCCCCATGTCTCCTATTAACATAGCCGGGGGAGTTCCTTCCTGGTGGTTTAGGGGATAACTTGGCGATCCCTGAGCACCCCCCTTCCCTCTCTTTTCCAGTTTGTATTTCTTATCTGGGAAGATTTTACCAGGATCTCAAAGACAGAGATGTCACATTCTCACCAGCCACTATTGAAAAAGAACTTATAAAATTCTGCCGTGAAGCAAGAGGCAAAGAGAATCGGTTGGTGAGTAGCCACTGACCCTCCCCACCTGGCATGGCTCATGTCTAACCCTGGGCTTCTGGATAACAGGCCCTGCCTGCCTCTCTAGTTAGCTATTCTGTGCGTAAACTAATGCAGGACTGAAGCTTTTGTCTCCTTCCCCAAGCAGCATGGATTCTTCAGCTGTGGTATCTGTTACCCTGTTAGTACTTATTAAGCACCTACTGCATGCCAGGCAGTAGGAATATGAGGAAACATGATAGGCAAACAGGTAATGCAGCCCACAGTGTCATGGAGAACGTAGACCAGGGTGGGTTGACAGAGAAGTGCCGACGCAGACAGTGGTCAGAAAGGAACGTCCTAGAACAGTCGTCACTGAAGTGGGGTCAGAGCATCTCAGACAGATTACACACAGGGTGGACCAGGGCTTGTTACACGCCCAGGGTTACACTGACCTGCCCGCCAGCAGAGGCAGGGTGCAAAACGCTGTGGCTCCAAAGGAGGGAATGTGTTTTGGAATGTCAGTATGTTTGTGGGGGAGACAGCTCTGAATGGAGCACCTCCTGAAGGCCACTGTCCTTTGCTGCAGTGCTACTACATAGGGGCCACAGATGACGCAGCCACCAAGATCATCAATGAGGTGTCAAAGCCCCTGGCCCACCACATCCCTGTAGAGAAGATCTGTGAGAAGCTCAAGAAGAAGGACAGCCAGATCTGTGAGCTCAAGTATGGTGAGTGTGGCCAGCCTCGTTAGTCGAACGCCATGCACTTTCTGGGATCCTCGTGTGCATCGTCTAAGTTTACTTTCAGCCAGAGAGAAAGGTGATAGACTAGAGCCATGACGTGGGTACGGAGCACGATAGATGGTGCTGGATGCTGGGGACCTGGCATCCATCCGGGCCGGTAGAGGTCGTTGAGGAGGAGGTGGCCTTTCAGCAAGCTTTGAAGGAGGTGGGCATTGGCCAAGAGCCCAGCTACTGGAAGGGCGTTCCACGACACGCCCTGCAGCAACAATGTAAAGGCATCCAGTGGCATGATGGGGGCTCAGAGGGACTTGCAGGTTAGTGAAGACTTCGGCTTTCAGTCTGAGTGAGGTTGGGAGCAGTAGACGTTTTTGAGCAGAGAACGGGCTTGACCCGACTGGGGTTGACAAACTTGTCGTGGCTGTGAGTGCCAAAAGCCCAGTGATCTTTATGATTCTGAAAAAAAAAAAAAAAAGACAAGACTGCAACCACGCAAGCAAGCCCAAGAGGGGTGGGGACCACTGTGTGTCTCCTGCTGAGCTGGTCCCTGGTTGCTTGAACACATCCCAGCCTTAAGAGTCAGGACTGCTGTGACACAGAAACAGTGCCGATGTTTTTATTGTGATTCACATGTCCAAGGGCCCCTGTTGTCCCACTTGAGTCAG